TTGTAGATAGTTCTGAAATAAGTCCAGATAATACTGATGAAAATAATATCACAGAATCAGTTAGAAGGTCGCAGCTGCTTGCAAGCAAACCGAGACATCGTTATAAATACGCAAGGAGATATTCGACGTGTGGCGGATGTGGTGATTGACAATTTCTATCTCTGTATTGTTTAAATACTTACTGTTGACTGTTAATATGTTTCTTATATAAATGGCATTATAAGAATTCCGCTAAATACAAATTCCTCAATTCCGCCCTCTCTGTGTTTTGGTTGAATTCTTGTAATTCCGTCATCTCGAAATACTAATACTACTATTACGAAAAATTACAACACAAAGCGAAAATCGGAAGGGCAAGATGAAGGCCTACATCAACCTGAAATCAGTTTGGAAACCTTCTGCACTCAGTCAGCATAAACGAGAAAATTCAGATTTTCAACACCAATATTAAGTCAGTCAGTTGCTCTGTATGCGTCAGAAACTTGACGTGGACATGACGAAAAGCATGTTTAACAGTCTACCATAGACTTTTATCAACAGCTGCCTTCACCAGCTGCATATTCAAATTCAGACAGCCAGTTAGAAGTAATTAGCAACAAAACACTCTGGAAAAATAACTAAACAAGAACCTAATTTGGTGGATGGTGATTAGCAGTGGAATCCAGGATAAAAGCGCATTTCGTCCTATTTGGGACTCGTCTAACCAAGTGGTTTGTGGATAACGCTTTGGCACTGGGTTCGAGCCCCCGTGGGAACATCGCCACTTACTGCGGAATGCAGGTACATCCAGCTAGCGGACGAGCCCCAAATAGGACGAAATGCGCTTTTTCCTGCATTCCACTACTAGTCACCATCCTACCAATTAACTTCTAATTACATGCTCAGACATCGTCGAAGCATCTGTGCAAGAAGCTGACATGTGAATCTGGGCCGAGAACTTTGGTCTAATCAGTCGACGGGAAAATCTAAAATTGAATTCAACAAACAAGAACCTATTGCTCAACAAATATATTTCGAAGGTAATGGAAATGGGTTGTGCATACGCTGAAGAGACCTTCGAATAACATCGAGTTCCAGGTAGGCCATCGTTCGAATTTTCTGGCCAGCTATTATAATATCTGCATATTGCATCCAGTCTACCGTTTACTCACATTTATTTATCACCTAAATATGAGTTCTAACAGAATCACTTACGACCAAATGACTTTCATATTCCCAAGAAATCAAGAAGGAAGAATCGTAGTGGTTAGCAGATGGCTTTCAGACGTACACCAATACACTTAACTACGGTCCCTGTCATAATGAACACAAACTGCCGTTCTCTGCCAATACAATCTCTGATGTCCACTGACACGTATCACAATACTGCCATAATCACATTGCAAGAAACGTGGTTACATGAACTGTATGTCTGGATTCAACATAGACCTTGGCACCGAAGTGCAGCAGTTCGAGTTGCTACGTTCCACATAGCACACGAAGGTAGACAAAAAGATGAGTCGAGAGAGTTAATAGTTTGACAAGTATAAGAGTGAAACAGAATGGGTAATGGTAGAAAGGAATATGAAAGATTACAGAGACTGAATACATCTGCGCTGGCCATTGACAGCAATTTAGGGCCATGTCACCTATTGTCTCCAGCCATTGATTCCTAGAGTCAGTCCCGAGGGCCTCAACCCGGAAGTCTGCATCTCCCTACCCGACTCAGTTTAACTGTCAAGGATTTCATGGATTGATGAGGCCATGTTTTTGTTTGGCCACAACTTACTCTTTTCCCACTGTATGATGACAACCTTATCTCACTAAAGGACTTTATTTTATTGCTTCAAGACCGTCAATGTTGTAATAAGAAAAATGGTGGTGGCGTTGCAACTTTTATTCACTCCATCCAAATGGTCTATCTCAAATAATGTTTGCTTCTCATTCTCAAATGACTTTATAGACTGTATCACTGTCAAATATCGTCCCAAACATCTCCCCAAATATAAACATATCTTTGTCACAAAACATGTACATTTCTCCTAGTTCCTCACTATCTGATCCTTCAAATTTTGCTGATGAATTCACCATGTTTGCCGCTGCCAACTTCGACAACTCTCTATGTTATTACTGGGGATTTCAACTCCTCAGATTGCTCCTTCCTTGAAGCACTTGGTCATACAAACATGGTTGAATTTCCCACTCGACTTGACAAAACACTCGATTTAGCTTTCACAAACGACGAAGGAATATATGAAACACGTAAACGTGCACCGAAACTTAACTCTGATCACTGTATTGTTCGTGTTTTACCAAAATAATACAGCAAAGCACACATTGAAGTCTTCTCACACCTGTCTACGAAAGAACAACAAAGATGCTACACATCTGACAACCTACTCAATCTAAGATGCATGTTAAAAAATACTAACTGGCATTTATTCTATGAAAGTACATTAGATGACTCAATCACCAATATAACGGATTATCTTAAGCTCTGCCTTGATATATGCTGTCCCAAACAAACACTATTCAAACGCTTCGACCGCTTCTCGTCTCAAACAACTTCGCAGGCAAAAGAAACACTATATAAATCCAAAGATAAGTTAGGACTAAAATAGATTAATGCTCAAATCAAATCTGAAATCAAAAATCTTAATGCTTTGTATAACCATACACTTTTATCATGCAAATCTCCTATCAGCATGTGAAAGCTTTTCAATGAAATTACTGGCAATAGTAAGCGATGTGATGTTTTTCCCTCTTATGGCGTTAATGCTCTTAATCAGTCTCTTATACGCTCTCCTTCTACGATAACTACTTCTAACGTTACTAATCATGTAGCTGATAACTTTCACGACTTTAACACTCTCGATGTTTTAAAATGTCTTAAAACGCTTAAGCCCCTCACGTAGCCTTGGCCCTGATGGTATACCTGCATATGTTCTAAAACAATGCGCTGATGCTTTATGTTCTCCTCTAACTAACATCTTAAATGCTTCTTTCTCCGAAAATGTTGTACCTGTTCCATGGAAAGACATTAAAATAGTCCCTGTCCCTAAACCTGGTAATAGCAAGAATGTAAAGTTCAGACCCATGGCCATCACTTCCCCGTTTCGAAAGCTTATGGAAAAATTAGTACTTCTTAAACTCGAACCCTCCCTTAAAAGCTTTGAAGACCCTAAACAATTTGCCTATAGACAGGGTAGGAGTACTTTAGATGCTGCAGCCCTCTTACACAACAGTATCGTCTCATCATTAGATGAAGGCGCCAAATACGTCCGTTGCACGCTTCTCGACTTCACTTCTGGTTTCAACTCTGTACCTAGATGTCTCTTGCTAAATAAGCTCTCCATGACACAAACTCAGTCCTGGGTCACTAACTTCTCTAACAGAATGAAGTACACTGTATACAAAGGTAGATCCTCCTCTGCTGTGCTCACTGAAGCTGTTGTCCCCTAAGGTGTTGTACTCTCCCCACTTCTCTTTTTTTTCTTTCTCTCTACATAACCTAACATCTTCATCAAATGATATTAACTTTGTCAAATATGCTGACGACCTGACTGTATCTTTGCCTGTCAAATGTCAAAGTGACTGCTCCAAACTAAACGGCTTTTTATCAGAAATCAGCCAGTGGTCCAAGGAAAATGGTGTAATCTTAAACCCCTCTAAATGTCAAACAGTCAATTTCACCTTTAGGCATAAATCTGACTGACCTAAATAAACTGGTTATCACTCACGAGGTGTGCAACATAGATGGCACTGAAATTGAAACCAAGGCGGAAATTAAATATCTAGGCGTCATTCTATCTGCTGATCATTCCTTATTGATCCTCTCATACCTTGATGATTTCTAAGAAAATATTCCGTCCTACCTTCTACGTCAAAAAGTTAAGACATTCTGGTATAACTCAACCCTTACTCCTACAATTCGTTAACTCTCGCATTCTGCCTATTATTCTCTATTGTTCCCCCTTAGTTTTTCCAGGGCTACTGAAGAAAGACTATACCTTATTACGCAGGATGTTAAAGGCTGTCATCAGGGTAAGCTACGTGCCACTTAACCAGCTTGTTAACATTCTGGTTGACGAGCACATGAACTCATGTGTAAAATGGACTAAATCCATTCTATCTAACTCAAACCACCCTCTTTATTCACAACTCTCCGCTTGTATCTCATCAGGCAAAACCAGAAGCCTATATAGAAAACCGTATGCTCGCAATAGCAAGTACAAAAACTCAACTATACCCTACTTGGCTCGTGTTCTGTGCAATAAGGGAAGCATTAGGTGTGAAAACTTTAACTTAATAAATAGTCAGTAGAACAATTGGATCTCGTCTTTCCAACTCACATCATTTATAGGTAAAACGTTCACTCTTTTCCTTTCTCTCCACCTTTTTCTTGTCTTTATTTTTGTTATGTGCTGTTTTGTTTCTCTCTTCCTTACAAACTCTACTTAAAACATTCTGGTTCGTTGTTTCACACTCTGTATATCTCGACCACTTTGTTACCCATTACGCCAGCAAAAATGCTACCATCTACTTTTCTAACACCTTCAAACATTCTGTTCACTTTTGGCTTTGCTACCGACATGGCAATACACGTTGTTGTCAATACTAACTGAGATTACCCTAAATCCATGTAGAATTTTATTTATTATTAATGTACTAACTGGATGCAATACTGTATGTGGTGAAATGCTGAGAATTCCATTCTGTATCACAAGTACTGTTTTGGAATAAAGCAAATTATTATTATACTTATAATTATTATTATTGTTGTTACTATTAGGAAAGGACGAGTGGGGTCATCATCCGAGGGTAACGTGGAAGCGGAGATCAGATCAGAGAATATCAGCAATCGTGGGGCCAGCTAAACTGGATCGCAGAGAACAGGACAAAGTGTAGGCGTGCTGCTGTTGAAGATCTACCTATTTGTCCTACTCGGAACTTGAGGGAACAATAATATTATTGATCACAGTAAAAAGCCAAGCTATTGATAAAAATCACCTTCCAGGAAACAATTTTATTTATTTATTTTTGTTTTTTCATCACTGTTGTACAAAAAGAAACGAATAAATTTTACACAAATCGTTGAAATGCACCACACTTGAAAATAGGCAAAGGTGTGAGTAGACAAAATACTCTGAAAAGGAAAGAGGGCGAACAATATCTACATATATATACAAAATCAACTTATTTTTCTATGAATCCATCGACGACACCATTACAGCATATCTCAGAGTCTGTATTCAAACCATTAGTTATCAAAAGCTTTTTATAAGTTGAAAATAAATGTCTAATTAAATAACTTGTTTCTTTCGGTTTTATATCCTCACAAGACTTTCGACTAGCCTTATATCGATCAGTATAAGCGGTCAGTGTATCCGATTGAACTAGTTTATTCATCAATCCACAATGATTGTGTATTAAGCAGAATAATAAAAAGTCTATACAAAAATGAGTTAAACAAACTTCCCATAATAGTGAAGAGGGTTGACGATCTGCGATCAACTGATTGAAGTATGTTAAACAATCACTACCACTTATGCTTTTCATCCAATCATTTTGAAGACATTCATAGATGACCTCCTCTTTTTCTTCCTGATAACTAGTCATATAGAAATGTACAATCTGACCGATATTTAATAGCATTAAACTGCATACCACACCCGGACAAGGTGTAGTTTCTGACCATGACGAAAGAAGGTGTGAAAATGCTTCATACCAACGATTAAGAAACAGTGGTTCTTTTGGAAATAACCGAAAACTAACTGTTAAACACATTGACGATAAATGCAGACATTCATTCGACAAATAATCATTATCATTTGAAGATGGTGGTAGTGCATTTAACAGAAGATTAATACCAACCCAACACCAGGCAAGTTGTTCAATTTCTTTACCAGGTCGTATTTTAGAAATTTCAACTTCACGATGTACCATTCTCGTAGCAGTTATCCATTGTTTCTGACCAACATTGAATATAATTGAAAAGAATGCCTTTTCAACTGAACTCGACCGATCAATTAACCGTTTGATACACTTTTCTGTGTAGATTACAACTTCTGATGGTTTTAAGTATAAATGTGCCAGAATTAAAGCTTCTTTAATTTTGTCGCAACTTAACAGTAATTCAATTGCTTCGTGAATACGATGTGCACACACCAGTAGGGTAGCAGAGACGAGAGTATCAGGACGAGTGGTTTGCATATTTTTAATCTATCATTATTGGAGAAAAACAAGACCATGATTATATACACACAGAAAACAGGATTATTCATCAAGCACTTTGTATATATTCAAAGTATAAAATATTTCGCAAATGAACACTATCGATTATCAATAAACAGCCTGGTCGATAACTGCTACCTTGTCGTGGTGGTCGGGCTTGAGTACCGTAATGACCCAACATGGTAAACTGACTTTGACTGTCCTACCATGTCAGGAAGGTTGACAGGATAGCGGTTAAACTAAAAGCAGTTACCATGGGGTACATGGGCTCCAGTATCCAATCGGATCAAATGGCGTATGAACCCATGTGGGTCACCGTCAACCATGGGAATGCAGCTCCTGACGCTGCTCTGCTGCCTTGCGGATTAGACTCCAAGTCAAAGGCTCAAAGGGTGGTCCCTTAATAAAACCACCTGCTTTGGTCTGGGCACCCGGGCAGTATCTCAGCCCTCACATAGTGAATTGAATAAAGCAACAAACAATCAAAGAAGCTTATCGTGTGGTATTACACGTGTCACAATTTCCTTCTCTCTTCCCTTCCCGATGATAGTTAACAAATACCGTTTGAACTTGTTAAGCATGACTGTTTTCCTTCCAGATGAAGTTCTTCATCCGTTCTCTACTTATATATATATATATATATATCCTTTTTTTCTTTTGATCTATGTTTTGTTATTATTGTGTGGCGTATCCTTCTTGGTGCCATATTGTACCAAGTTTTTATGCGTTTAAATAAATAAATAAATAACAAATAAACACAGTCACACAGATTATTACAAATTTCAGCTTAAATGAGAATTACGAAAAGATTCTTTTTAAACATAACTTAATATTTTCAACGTTAGGTGGTAACTTAAGTTCCCGCTCGAAAGCTGCTACCTACCTTGACGTGGTTGTTAGGCCTGCATATAACATTCACCCAATAAACTACGCCATTCACAGGTCTTTTCATGCCAGGAAGATTGTTAGGGTAACGAATAGACTAAAAGCAGTTACCAGCATAGAGCAAGATTTTTTTCAGAAAAGTTGCACTAACCAGTCTCCCCAGCACGTTGACCGCTGACGAGATCTCAGTAGAGATACAGACGGTTAGTTTGGCATTCGCCTGCCAACTTAAACTATCTGTCGCGTAGATGTGATATCCAGCTGCCTGTCGACCAAATGACGTGTATGCTGCCCACCAGTTTACTCCCAACTACTCCTTTATACAGCTGCGAGTGAGACGTGGTCATCGACAGTGGAAGACGTGGAAAGCCTGGTTAGCTGTCTTTCATCATACGTGTCTATGTTTTGTCTGTCTGTCTGTTTTCGACATAGAACTTTGCACAAATGTGCACCAGTTTAAGTCGCCACATTCCGTGTAGCACGCGAAGCAAGAGAAGAAAGTACAAGAAAAGCATAATAGAAACAGTGAGCAGAGGTGTGAGACAAAGGAGTAATAAAGAAATACAAAACAGTTTCATTGAAGATCATAAGTCACAGGGAGTGGATGCATCTGCGCCACTGAGAACGGTTTTGAGCCATGTCACCAATTGTTTCCAACCATAGATTTTTACCGTCCCGAGGACCCCAGCCTGGAAGTCTACACCTTTCTACGTGGCTTAAACCAACTGTTGTGGATTTCATTGACTGATGCCAAGTTTTTGTTTGACCGCCGCTAGCTTTTTTCCAGCCTGACCCTATATCCGCTAACATTGCTCGTCGAGGGAGGCGATGGCTTGGCATACGTAACACATGTCCTAACCATCTCAGTCTTTGTAGCTTCACGACTTCGTCGATTGATTTCCCCTGTTTACCTAGAACTCTACGCCTAACCTCCATGTTGCTCACCTTATTATGCCACTTTACACGGGAAATAGAACGCAGGCACCTATGATCAAAGACAGCTAGTCTTTTCATGTCTTCCACTCTCAGTGGCCAGGTCTCACAACCATAAAGGAGGACGGAGCGGACTGATGAGCAGTACACCCGCCCTTTGGTCGATAGTCGAACATCTCGTCTACGCCAGAGTCGGCGTAAACTAACAAATGCGAAACGAGCCCCTTGTATTCGTGCTGAGATTTCGTCAGAGATCAGCCCGTTGGGGCTGATGGTACTTCCCAAATAAGTGAAGCGGTCAACGTGCTCTACCACTTCACTTCCTATTTTTAAACTAGGCGTCGATGTAGTCCAGTCCTGTAACATCATCTTGCATTTGGCGGGAGCGAATCGCATGCCAAACATTCGTAGATTGCGGCTCAAGGTGTTCAGAAGACTCTGCATTTTGTCAGCGTCTTCGCCTAGAAGGACTATATCGTCTGCATATTCCAAGTCTATGTTTTACCTACATCCCGCGTAGGAGGGAAGGACAACAACGACGAGGTTGTGACGCTACATCGATCAAGATGTCTAAGAAGGATGTTACGCATGCTAGCCTAGTCATCGGTCGTCTTACTCGACGGGCAATCTCACCTAGCTGACATAGGATCGGTGAGTTCGTAAAGAGCTAGTGGTGATGAAACGAAAACACGACTTCACCAGTCAACCAAATCCATAACAGTTAGTTTAGGCCAGCTAGTCACGTAGGGGGCGAGAGTATACTGAGTGGCTGACTGGCTGTCTAGTTGGGGTCCTCGGGATGGAAAAATCCAAATGACTACTGGAGACAATTGGTGATATAGCTCGAAATCGTTCTGAGTGTTAGCGCAGACACGTTCACTAACTCTTTATGATTTGTCATATCCAATAAAACTCTATTGTTCTTTCATATTACTATTCTCCTGTCCTCACTCACACTTTTGTTTATCTCTCTTTACTCTCTTCTCTTGCTTTGTGCAGTACATGGAAGGAGTGTGGCAACTAGAGCCGCTGAACATCTGTGTAAAGTTCCACCTTGAAACAAGTCAGCCAGTCACTACTACTACTACTACTTTTAGTTGGTTTCTTTCATCGACCGACCTATTGAACAATCAATGCTAATCTCCATAGAGAAGTTCGTCACTTCATGATTTAAAACCTCCAAAAATGCAAAACAAGTAGCTAGGAATGTAATCCCATTATGGGTAAAATTTATTTCGATGAAGTCTCATCACAGTGTTATACAGTAATACTTACTGATGACGTTTTGAGTTATTTGATACCAACGCCAAAGATAGTCTATCGCTGCTGTGTGATCTATTTGAATCTGACGTTGACTCGGTGGTGATGGAGGTCGCCAGGATGGATAGTGTTCCTCGTTGTACCTAAAATTAGTGCTGACTAGGAACAGATGATTATCTGAACAGAACTGTAGCAGATGACCACCAGCAGGGAAATCTGTAGGTATCACAAATATACTTTTCAGTCTGGCACAACTTCGCTACTTGAGCATTGAAGTCGCCAGCAATTTCCATTTTGCAGCAAACTAGGCAGCTTTTGGTAGGGAGGATTCTGTAATTTATCCGAACTACAGTCCGTCGGGTGGTAAGCAGAGACTATGAAATGACACCGAAGGGTAACGTAGTCCCTTTCTTCTTCAAACGGACCCGTTCAGATGGACCGCGCACATATGACCACTTACTGAGACCCAGTCGATAGCCGATTTTTCTACCCCAACACTCAGTGCCATCCCCACGCCTACGAGTCCTCGCAGGTCCACAGTTTAAACAACCGGTAGGTCAGTATGCGTAGTACATACACTGCATCATAGCCAGATTGACTAGTCGCCTCTCTTTACCGAATACCAGACAAAATAATGAAGCACTGATAGCTTCAAAATACACTGACGTATACAACTTGAGAAATATAAAACTGAATTAACTAATTCCAACCGTTAGGCGACCTAAGATCCAATATCCAACATCGTTTTTACGGGTTAGAGTGCTTGACTGGTTTCAACATAGAACTTTGCACCGATGTGCAGCAGCAGTTCACGTCGCCACACTTCACTCAGCACACAAAGCCAGAGAAGAAACGCAAAACTGAGACAGTGAACAGAGATATGTGGCAAAAAGAATAGTAAGGTCGAAGATCAATATAGTTTTATTGGCTATTTTAAGTCATAAGTAATGGATGCATCTATGCCAGCCATTGAGAACGAAGATTTTGGGCCATATCGCCGATTGTCTCCAGCCATTTGGTTTTTACCGTCCAGAGGACCCCAACCAGGAGATCTACACCTCATGCGTGACTAAAACTAATGGTTGTGGATTTCATTGACTGATGCTGTTTCCGTTTGACCACCACTGGCTCTTTTCCAACCTGAACAATCCTTTATCAGCTAACATTGACCGTCGAGGAAGGTGATGGATGAATAGGCAAGCACACGTAACACATGTCCTAACCATCTCAGTCGATGTAACTTCACAGTCTCGTCTGTTGATTTTACACCTTACCTAGCACTCGACTAAAGCTTAACCTCAATATTGATCATCCTATTATACCACTTCACACGGGGAGGTAGAACTCAGGCACCTATGATCAAAGACCGCTAGTCAGCCTTTTCATGTCTTCCACTCTCAACGGCCAGATCTCACAGCCACAAAGGAGGACGGAACGAACTGACGAACAGTATACACGTCCTTTGGTCGATAGCTGGATAGAACATCTACGCCAGAGACGGCGTAAACTGGTATACACGAAACTAGCTTTCTGTATCCGTGCTGAGTTTCAGTCACTTGATTTAGTCTGAGGATTAGTTTGGTCCCACTGAAATTTTCCTATGGAACTTCGTCATTTGCTTTGCTTGTAACTAGAGAGATAATGTAGTCTGTAATTGTTTAGTGTCTTGCTGAAATTTGCAAATTTTAAAGAGGTTAAACGATGAAAATCTGAAAAGTATAAATCCATACTCCTCCATGAATGTTCTGATTGTATCTCTCGTTTAAATATGTAAAGCACTCACCTTTTCACCCAGTAAATCCAATTCCATACTTCCAGAAGACTCTTCTGACGAAAACGATAGTTTGTCACAAGAATCTGGATATGCCAAGGTACACCGAGCTAGCTGAACTGCATACAATAACCAAAAAGGCATATGATCTTCTGAAGATATAATAGATGGCACGGTAGGCACATGACCTATCCATAATAATATCATACAATATGCGTCAAAATGTACAAGACTGTTGGGTCTTTGTTGACAATGAAATGACTTTAAGTGAGCAGACGCTTCCATATTCAAATATTTTAAAAGGCGTGCTCGAGTCATACCAGCAGCTTGTGGGAGTAGAAGTAACAAATCAATTGGTACTTGTTTGTCATTCATTTGTTCAGTTACAAAATTTGAAGCATTTAAAATTTGTGAAAGAAAAGATCCTAGTTGAATGGGTGGAGAGTTATCTAAGTCTGATTCACAAGTAGTATTCATAAAATTGAATAAATTAG